TCATCCAAGGCAGCAACCGAGCGGTGTATTATTCTAAAGACAATGTGACGTTTTTAAGCCAGAGACCTCTTCTCAATCATCTTTTGTGCTTTCTGGAGCAAAGGGTAAACAACATTAGTTCAAAATAAAAAGCACAAAGTAACGATAACGAGTAGCGATAATGATAGCCAGTGAAATAGGAAACTAAAAATATAACAAGAACGTTACAAAAAAAAGCTCAATCTAATTCTGTTGCATTTTACATGATTATGCAAAAAGTTAGAAGCAAAAAATTCTGAGGTGTTAAGGTGTGGTATCATCGAAGTGCTAATCCTTACATCTGCCCTCTGCTTTATTTGAGAAAAAAAATGACGATGCACAAGCCTGTAGGAATTGTCAACAATGCCCTGAGTAGTCTCAAGCAACAAACTAAAAAAAAAAAACTGAACGGAGCCTATAGTTTTATTCAATTCAAAGAAATGATGATTATATTGAGAAATCAAGCATGCGCGGTCTTGGAAGTCTAGACCGATGGGATTTATCTTTCATTTTGTTTTTGGAGGGGAAAAATTAATCGCATCGGTGAGTGAATTTTTACGAGATCGTTAGAACTTATTGAGCAAGTAGATTTCCCTGCCATTCCTCCACTTAACCCTTAAAATGGTAGAACAAAAAAACCCAGAGTATAACAAACGGCTGCCCGGTGAAGTCAGTTTTTCTTTACGATTGACATACTCATGGCGTTTACTTGTGATATCTTTTTGTATTCACCCAAAGTCAAATGATTAAGTGAATATCGTAGCTTTGCGCTGTTGCCTTGAATTGTCGAAATAACAATTCAGAAATCTTTTATTCATGCATATATTTGAACTAGTTGCACCTGCGTGGATCTTTTACGTTACTCCAACAGCCTCGCGTATGAAGAAATACCTTTTTAACACAAAAAAATTTCTTATTAATGCTGTGTGTAATTGTGTGTTATTGGGACCACCCACTAGATTAGATGACCTTTGCTATTTGAATGATCTCAACTCATCCCATATTTAGCTGTTATTAAAGTTTTTCTTTTAATATGTATTTCTTTGTCTATGTTAATTTCTTTAAAAATCCCTACGGTCTGTAAAGCTGAACTGAGTAAAATAAATTATCTTGTCACAATTTTCAGCTATTAAATTTGCTATTAAATTTGTTTCAGCTTCAAATTGCCCTTGCTATTGCAACTTACTATTGCAACTGCTTCACAGTGCTTGGCTTTCCCATCGTTAACCGCGCTTTTAGCGCGTTTATCTTATTGGCTCATTCCACAGGCTATGCATGCTGTTATGATCCACCTTTCACCTCTTTTCCCCTGCTAGCTAGCGCTTTTCATTGATTGCCACTTCTTTCGTTCGTTGGCTCATTACACCATTTGAAGCCTAGACTAACGGATTTTATTAACGCCTCACTAAGGAAAGAACTGTATCCACGTTTGATTTTACAGAAACGCATTTATATTTTGGTTGTTAACTCTGATATTGAGCTTATAACGTGAGGAGGGCTCCAATACATGGATCATTTTCAACCTAACTTTACTCCACTCAGCTCAAATCCTAGGCATAACGCTACTTTTAGCCACTGAATAATTAACAATAATTATTAACCGAAGTGGAAGTAGATATCTAACACTTTCACCAACACTGAGATGAATAATTGTTTTAGACTTTTTAGTATATACCACAAAAGTTGAATAACTAGCGGGCTAAAACATTCTTCTTCGGTAACCGATGAAAAACAGCAAACCATTTTGTTTCTTTTCGGCTGCTCGGAGGAGAAAAACCAATCAGAAACCCTGAAATGCACTACATGTATTCAATTGTGTTATATGTGTGTACAATACAAGTCAATGTCATGATACAATGAGAATTGAACCAATCAGAATCTAATTCATAGTGAGTATTCATAAGATCTCGCAACTGTTGCCAAGCGCAGGACTTGCCGACTAGCAATTAACACATTCAGGTCACGATGGGACAAAGAAATTCTTTAGTTAATTTAAGCTCTGGGATGCAAGAGAAGGGGCATAATTTCAAAATGTAAATAATCCTGATCTGATATCATTTTTTTTTTAAGTTTTAAGGCAATAAAATATGAATTGATAAAGATGTTGCTGTTGGACTGTAGAATCCTGTAAGATTCAAGCTCCGACATGAGTCAAAAGTTACGCTAGCGAAAGTAATTGACCAATTTTTCCAGCGACTGATTGACTAATTTTTCCAGTGACTGCATTACATGGAAAGAAACATCATAAATGACAATGTCACGGGAATGAATAAGAAATGCCATATTATATTCTTGAATGTTTAGCACGAGTTAGGAACTGTCCATATTTGACAAGGCAGCAGCCTTTAACAAACACAATCGAATCACGTGGTCTAGTCCGCTGTTCATCTGGTACAGCTGAACACAACTCACATCAGCTAAGAAACAGAGTGCGTAAATAGCAATAAAGTTTTGTTTTCGTTGTTGACACAAATGTAGTTCTCATTTCTGTGTAGCCCTCAACAAAGAAAATATAATTCCTTTGACTGATTTTCATGCTAAGACCAACTTATGTGAAGACACTGGGACGTAATTTTTTTCCGACGAACACAATATGGTTACACGCAACGTAACGTGCTTTGGTAGTTTCGCAGCGTAATAAAAACCCTTTTAAATGTTAAGTTGCCGACTACCAAGAACGTCACAGTTCAAGCTAAAGCTGAATAAACTCGATAAAAGTGAGTGTAAATGACAAAATTCGATAGATTTCTGGGGGCCCGCTTTCTTATTTAAACACCTTTTATTTCATCTGTGCAAACTACAAGCATATCATAGTCAAATGACACGTCCTCACACTCAAAGACAAAAACTAAATTGGCAAAGACAACAGAACGCACACACTTCGTGCGTTTCAGGAAAAGTTCGAGGGAGGCTTATCATTTCATCGAACGGCCAGTCATGTCCTTGAATACTCCTGTTGTGTTACTTGGGGCTCTATGCATCTTTGGTAAGACGTACGTTCTATTTTAGAGCGACTCTAGGTTGCGCTATGTTATGTGTCTCTACTGCTTACAAACTAGCGTGACTGAAATAATGGTTTTAAAAGTGCACAGCAATACAAAAGGAATTCTAGCAGGAGAAGAGATCAAAACTAAAAAAGAAGATTAAAACGGATTGCAATAATCAATGCTTTATTTTTATCATCAGCACAAAGATGGCGTGACCTACATAAGTGCGTATAAGTTATAGACCACATTAAATATATGTTGAAAAATGCTAACAGTACCTGTATTTATCTTCCTCTTTTAGGTGGACTTCTCAGTGTTAAAGGTAAGGCAACAGGATTCAAAAGAATCCACATGATAGCGCAGGAAATATAAAACATATAAAGTGTTATAGCTTTAGGGTAGCCAGCTGTTCTACCCTCATATACTATTAGTCAAACCAAGCACAAAGGGGTCTTTAAAATCTGTAACTGTTTCACAGGCCGGTTCCCAACTCAAATGCATATGCATGCCCAAATGCATGCCTATTAAAAGACCTCAAATCCCTGCGATAATCACATAAAAGCAACTTCATCGTCCAAAAGTGAAAATTGTCAAAGCATCCAATCTGATTATGATGAACAAATGGCTGAACTTCGTTTTCGTGAAGGGTTTTAGTGACTTCCCTTGCAAATGTTTGGTATTTTGTATGGGTGGTCGTTGCCTGAGAGGTGGTAGCACGGGGAGTTTCGTCATGCCAGTGAATCCCACTGATCCGTAAATGTCTAAATAATCTTGTACCTAAATATTTGAGTGACTATTTCACAAGAAATTATAACGTGCATAACTACAATACTCGCAGAAGTACAGATTTGCACCTGCCCAAACCCAAACATAGCCTTGCAAAACGAACCTTATAGATATTCGGGCTCAGCGTTTTTTAACCTCTTACCCCGTAGCTTTCAAAACGCCGAGTCACTTTCTTCCTTCAAAGTTTCAATTGACGCCTACACTTTTTAAATTATATAGGAACTAGATTTTTATAAATTATTGCATGCTCGTTTACACTCTATACTTTTAATCATTAAATGTATTTTCAAATTTATATCTTGTATTTTTTAAATTTTATCTTGTATTTTTAATTATCACTATGTCTTGCATTTTTAAGTCCAGGGCCCCTCTGGATATCAGCCTCGTCGCTGAATGGGCCACCCTGGTTAAATAAAGTTTACACCTTTACCTTTATCAGTAAGGACGCACAGAAGTAAAGGAGACAAGTTTAATTTTTTTGCAACTATGAAGTAAAGTCAGATTCGGAACCGCTCATATATGGTACATATGAACTTTAGAGTTATTGGGTGCGTGTAAGCTAAAAAATTGGCTGCTTAGTTTCTCAGTTGTTTTTAATTTTCGTTATAGAGAATTACTTCACAATAGTTAACAAACGGCTGTTAAGGTGGCTCAAAACACTTTCCAACAGTTAGACTTTGGTGGGTCACTACAACCACTCTTTATCACTTGATGCTACAATCATGGAATGAAAAAACTCCCCAAACATCGGTGAGCAC